TTCATTCTATATTTCTATTCAAGTTTTAAGATGCTATTATTTGATTAATGATAAGGTTAAAATTTGATTGAAATTGTTTGATACTTTGATTGGGTTTAAAATGCTATTACTTGAGCTAATGAGTCTTCCAAGCGGTTGCATTTAGAGGTCACAATGAAAAGTTAGATTCCATTAACGGCGGAAATTTTCTTCAAATGTTGGAGGCACTTGATGAATTTTTCACCGAGCTTAAAGAGTTATTTTGTGTGCTCCCAAATATGCATCATTCACATCAATTCAAAAAGAAATGTTGATCTTATATCAAATAAGGTGAGACAAATAATTTGCGAGGAGATTGATGATCGAAGGTTTTGTTTACTTGTTGACGAAACACGGGATGAGTATCATAAAAGAGCAAATGTCTATTGTTTTGGGATTTGTTAATAAAGAGGGATTCGTTACAGAGCGTTTCTTTGGACTTGTTCATGTACGTGATATCACAGCATAAAACGCTCAAGGAAATTGTGGAGGATTTCAATGCCACAAAAGATTGACGAGTTTCACTTTGATTAGTGATGTTTGACATTTTCATATTTGACATCTAGTTTCAGAGTTTTACTACGTTTTAACTTTGATTTGTGTATTTTTTATATTTTTGAAAATATATATTATATCAGGTGCGGCTCCTACTTTTGGAAAACTTGTGTTCCTCCCCTGATTTTGATAAATAGTGTATCATGTGCTATTTGATATGATTTTTTTTCATTTAAGACTAAACAGTCTAAACTAGATAATATTTATTAACATATATTTGTTTTACATGTATTTTGTTTTATAATGTGTTTGTTTTATAATATGAACATTTTTATATTGTTTGTAAAACGAAAGCTACATGTAAAAAATTCCACATTATGAACCGAATAATATGAAATAAATATATTGTAAAATAAATATATGTTTATCAATAAATTTATGTTAGTCTTAAATAAAAAATCATGTAAAACAATAACTTAACATAAAAATTCTTATATCTATCGCAATATATAAAGTTGTCGTTAGAAAATCACATACGCTTTCTAAACCAATTGCAAAGCAATTTTCATGCCACGTGTAACTAATACTTGCTATATTTGCAAGTGTATTTACAGGCCCGTGTAGCCAGACACACCCCCACTTTTTTTTAATTGTTTAAATAAATTACATTTTTATACAAACAATATATTTGTAAATAAATGAATGTGAATTTAATTTTTTAATTAAATTAATCAACCTTGTTTGTTTAAAAAATATTATATATGTATTAGATAAATCTCGATTTTAATATTTTATTTTATTATTTATCGATGTTATAATACGATTTTATGTGTTTTTAAAAAAACAATGATGATTTTATTTTGAAATAAAATATAAATTTGAAAATATCATAAAATTTTGAAAAAAAAATATCAATGTTAATATCAAATAAACTATTTAAAAGTTCTCATTTTTTATATAATTTATTTTTTTATTATAATTTAATTTAAGTTTAATAATGAAATAATTTATTTTTGGTTTAATAATATAACATTTTATAAAGATAATATTAAGTACTCTGTTAGAACTTAATGATAATCTTAATTATATTTTAGATTTTTTATATTTAAAATGAGATGTTTATCTTATATTTTGTTATGTTTATCTGCAGTTAGTTATACAAATTCAGATATGGAGCTTTAATAAGTTGTACTTACGTACAATTTACTTGTAATCTTGAGTTTTAAGTAACATGCATTAATAAACAATACTTTATGCATAAAAATGGTTTTTAAATTTTTTTGTCAAATGCTTTAGAATGTAGTATAGATAATAGTTAAATTAATTTAAACCTTGAATTTATAATAACCTAAAATTATAATTATACGTACTAAAATGTATAACATTGAAAAAATAAAGAATTATATATAATATATCTTAATATTTAAATTTAAACAAAGAATTATATATCATATATTTATTAACTAAAAAATAATTAAAATATATACTATAATTTATGAAGTAGTTAATGAATGTTGAGTAAAGACCACTTTTGAAAATGTATGTATAAATGATGGTTGTAACAACTATATGACATGATTGAAATCATAAATGAATTGCATTTATGTGGATGGTTTAATTATTATTAGAGGGATTTCCTTTTGAAAACTTTTTAAACCGTGAAATCTTTGAGGACCACTGCATAATTGTTGTTTTTTTCTTTCTCCATACATGGGTAAAATATGATATAGTTATTAACATATATTTGTTTTACAACGTGTTTGTATTATATGTATTTTATAATGTAAAACTTTTTTGTCTATTTACAAGTGTATCACAATAGTCGGATTTACTGATTTAAGAACTCTAAAAATTATGAGATCCGTAAAAACTTCTATCTTTACGTTTTGTTTTATATGATCTTTTTATAAGTATAATATTTAATATATTGATTAATATATATTTGTTTTATATGTATTCGATTCACAATGCGAATCATTTTTGCATGTTTATAAAACAAAAAGTTATACGTAAAAAAGTTTCGTGTATAATTTTGTAGTTTTTAATCATTTTAAATAAAAATTGATTTCAGATAGATGGTTACTTGAATATAACATAGATACAAACGTAGTAGGTTTTTTTGACATCTTGAAAGAATTTAATATTTTTGACATTGGATAAATCTTAATGAAGCTTTTGCATCCCGCCACATTGTACGGGTACATAACTGGTTCTAAAACCTTCTGAATAATTTTGTATCATATATCTCCCTTAACCATTAAGAGCCCTAATTTCATTGTACACAATTATCAAACAATTATATTTTATTTTATATTATATCATAGAGCCTCTTAATCATTCTAACCTCTTAATTATTCTACACCAAATTATTCAGTAATTGGTGAACAGCGTGTGGATTTTAAGTTATCACCAGGAATTTGGGACCCGAAAAGTGATTCCATTAAGAAAAGAAATGGTTTAGTTTTGAATTAAAATGCATACGCATGCAATTGCCTCTAAAATCTCCATTAATTAATTAGCATTCCATATTGAAGTAATTAACATCGGTAATCAACTATGTTAATTCACTAACTACTTATTCAAAGCCAAAGAGCTCCAGCTTCCTTCAGAAGTGGGACCAGTGTCCCATTGATATGTGAAGCCATCACTCTATCCATCGATCCCACCAGTTTCCCGCCGATGAACACCACCGGCACCGCCGTTGAGTTGCCCATAAGTCTTACCAACGCCCTCTCCATCTCTCTCCCTCTGATTGGATCCTCATCCAGCTCGTAGACCGTCGGGTTGACACCCATGCCGGAAAAAAGACTCTTGATGGCGTGGCACATGCAGCAGGTACTCAAACTGAATATCACCACCGCACTCTGTGATGCCAGCTTCGCCACCCTCTCCAATGGGTCAACCGCCACCGTCGGAAAGTGCCGTACCGGCATGTAGTTATAGTAATATCCAGTGGCGCCGCTGCTCCTCCATGACTCCGCCGCAGCTGCTGCTTGATATTGCATTGTGTGTCTTGATTTCCTTGATCGATGCCTTAATATATAGTAGAATGATGGATCGAATTGAAGAAACAATGACGATCGAAAGTATGATATGATTTGATATGAATGTAGATGAAGTCGGAGGGTTGAGAGTTTGAAACGGTGGTGGTGGTGGTGATGATGGTGGAAATGGTGGTGGTATATATAGGGATTGACCTGGGGACAGAAATCTCGTACTTCCATAAAAGTATCAAACAAGATTCTTTTTCTTGTATTATTCGATTTAACATGTAATCGAGTCTCTAATCACATATGAATCATTCTCTAAAAATTATACTCATTACTTAATTAATGTTTGATATAAATTCATTCTCATCATGTAAGACAAATGATATCGGATAAACATTTACTCATAGATTGTTTATCAAAAACTTACCCGATAAATGTTTATTAGTAAAACTCAATAATATTATTACTTACCGGGTAAAATTTTAGTCCACCAAAACGATACTTTATGTAATAATTTATCCGATAAACTCTTACCGTGGTAAAAGTCGTCGCTTTCACTTACCGGGTAAAACTCTTACTCCTTTTCTCGCTCTTACAGGATAAGATTTTTTGTTCTTGCCATATTCATCCGATAAAGTAATATGATTTGATAAACGCTTATCCGGTAAACGTTTGATAAAGAGTCACTTAGTACATTTTTAGTAAATGAACCCCTAACATGTAAAAGAAATTTGAAGTAAACTTGTGAACAAAAATAAGGAAAAAGGGTGACTTTACGTACGTAGTGGGAAGAAGGGACAAGACAACATAATTATAAGGATAGGAAGTATATGAATATTCGCTCATGTTTGATTGTATGACAACAGGGAGGCAAAATAGTTTAGACTGTACAAGGTTGGTGGGATACATATGTATGTATAATATATATATATATATATATATATATATATACACACACGACACATATGTGTGTGTATAGAACTATACATACATATATATATATATATATATATATGTGTGTGTATAGGCGGCTGCACATGTCCTTGTTGTCGGATGATCAACTTTTATCTTTATGTGTACTATTAGTATTTTGCCATGAAGACATGCCTCTGTAAAGACTTCAATTTCTTTTCTTTTAAATTAAAAAATAAAAAATAAAATAAAATATTTGATGGGAATTTAATAAAAGTTTGACTTAAAGGAAAATGAGATGTTGACCATTACCAAAAAGGAATAGTGTGGATTGGGATGGCATCTAGATGATATAATCAGGAATAAATGAAAAAGGTGCAGTGTGTGTACACCTAAAGTAACGACACATGTGCAGGTGGTTGGGCGTGGTGGCCTTTCACGACCAACAGGCGGCGGAGATGCACACTTGCCTCCGCCCTCCTCCGCTCCTAACGGTATTCGAGGGAACTCGGTTCAACATCAATCTAACCATTTCCCTAAATAAATGTTTCTAGTTGGCTTGCTCACTTCCTTTCTTTTTCACAAAACCAAAAAACAGTAGGTGAATTTTTTTATGGCGACATCGTAACATGTATTTATGGTGTCACAAGTTGCAGTGTGTCCTTCTGATACTGTAGGTTGCGACTTTCGCTTCATGTTTATGTGTTGATGTATGTTTTTGAGGTGTCGCAAGCTGTGTGTCTTGATTTTCTTTTTCTTTTGCGATGGGCTTGTTTTTCATCTGGATGTGTAAGAAAATGTCATCGACCAAAAGGAAAAGTGTCTTGCTGACTTGCGGTTGCTTGACTTAGGTCCTTTTCACAAACGCTTATCCGAGTAAGTGCTTACCAACAAAATTCAACATTGTCACTTACTTACCGGGTAAGATTTTAGTCCACCAGAACAATATCGTATGCAATAATTTACCCTACACTAACTGTGGTAAGAGTCATCGTCATCACTTATTGGGTAAGACCCTCGGTCATTGTTTTTGCTCTTATCGGGTAAGATTCTTGGTCTTTGACATATTCATCTAGTAAGATAATGTGACTTAGATGTCGTTTGCTAAATGCTTACCCGGTAAGTGCTTACGGGGTAATTTTCCTTACAGGATGAACATGACAAAAGTCAAAAATCATACCCGGTAAGAGCGATGGTAAAAATGAAGAGTTTTACTTGGTAAGTGTGGTGTAAACTCTTACCTGGGTAAGCGCTTACCGGGTAAATTGTTTCATACGATAATATCTTAATATACTACAATCTTACCCGGTAAATAAATTACAGTGTTTGACTTCTAAAGATAAGCGCTTACCGAGTAAGCATTTAAGTAAACGCTTACTTGAATAAGTGTTTAGTAAATGACTTTAATTTGTGAAAAAATATTGAAGCGGCTAAAAAAAAAAAAAAAAAACTGGCAAGTGGTTATTTATGATAATAACCTTGTTTGTAGTTGGTAGACTTTCAAGATAAGAACCAAATGATTATGATTTTTAGGTGTTTTTGGTAGGTAAGATGATACATAATAAAACTTGTTTTTTCATGTTTGATGAGACAGTTAGATTTTGACATGATTGAGTGCGGTAAAAATGTAGTTAAATAAGTGGAACAAAAATCATAGATGAAATAAGATTAGTAAATTATTAAAGTACGAATATCAAATTAAAATCCTAAAAAATAAATATCGAGTCAAAATAATATGTAAAATCGTGACAAACTACATTGTATTATTTTAAATCGTGCTACATTTGTAGTTGAAATATTTAAGAATAAATATCGAGTTTGAACATAAAAAATAGGAAAATAGTTATGAACAGACGTTTGTTGTAAAAATATATTTCAAGGGGTGTTTGGGATTACTTATTTGAAACAACTTATTACAAAAGTCCTTATCAACTTATTATAAGTTATAATGGTTTAATTTTTTCAAAAACTTCTTATTACCGGTTTGACACCGGTATAAGTTGTTTATCTAAACATTCAAAAATGTTTATTACCGATGTCACATTGAAATAAATCATTAAGTTGTTAATATAAGCAATCCCAAACACCCTTCAACTTTTATATAAAACAATTATAATAATGAAGTTGAAGGATTAATAAGTTCACAGTTTGATTTAGTAGGTCAAATGGCAGAAAAAGGTGAAACAGTGTTTCGAATTTCATGGCCCAATAGGCCAATTTGGGCCACTTAGACTACACTAAACAAATCTCAATAAGGTTTTAAGAGGTGAGAGCGTTTGTAAGCTCTAACATATCTATATTATTACTAGAATGGTATTTACAGAATAAATAAGATACATCTTGATTTTAATTTTTTTTTTGTTTTAATCGATGTCATAATATGATTTTTATATGATTTTAAGAAAACGATAATTTTTTTATTTTTGAATAAAATATAAATATGAATATGTCATAGAAAATGTAAAAAAAAATATTGATATTAGTACCAAACTAACTATTTTAAATTTT